CATCACTGCTTCCTACATGTAGCGCTTATGAAGTTGTAGCGAAAAGCGATTTTGGCATACGATATTTCTTGTGCAGTGTTCACCCGTAATGGATTACGGTAGGAAGGCGGTAACACCATAATTTGGGTCAAGAAATTTAGTTCGAAACATTTTAATGTCCGTATAATGAGCTATTTGACTCGCAAATAAATCTCTACGAATGCGTAAAGTTTTTCGTACAATTAAACTCCTTAGGCTGTTCATGTCTACAGTAATCTCGAGGTTAATAGCTCACGGTCAAGGTTATTGTGAAGCCATGAAATGAAAAAAATTCTCTACATAGTCTCAAAGAACTTCTGCACGAAAATGGAAAGTTTTATGTCCCATTCTTGTGCTACTAGTCGAGTACAATTAGAGCTTTCTACATAAAAATGAGCGGAATCAGCTTCACTTGGATGTCAGCTTCCCATAAATTGTACAACCACGTAATTGCGATAATTTTTAGAGAAACTTGGAATTCCAGATTTTCCACCATATCCTATTATGATTGTATTTGTGATAGTAGCGGATTCTTACCTTTTGACAAACAGAACAAACTGTTCGCCATAGCATCATCATCATTTCCATATTAGGCACTGCACCTGGAGCGAATAAAGCAAGAGGTGGAGGCATTGGAAGTGCTCCGCCACCGGGTAAAGAAACTGGACGGGGTCCAGCTTCTTCTCCACCCACACCGGCATCAAATATTCGGCGACCTGTAAAATCTGTAAGATCATATGGAATTTTTAGCCAAAAAAAGAGAGCTTACCTCGTCTGCTAGGGCTCTGCTGCCACATGTGGGTACCCATGTGGACCTTGAGGTTTCCACGAGTGGTAAATGCACGACCGCACATCTCACATTTGAATGGCTTGTCGCCTAGAATAGCGCGGATTGATCCTGATGGGATTACAGTTTTCTAAAGATGACCTACCTGTATGCGTTCTCATATGGATTTGCAGAGCTGAACTGGAGCTGAAGTGCTTGAAGCAAACTGCACATTGGTGTTTTGAGAGCACAGGGAGCTAAATAATGCAGTCTATAGATCAAAAATTTGAGTAAATATTTGTTACTAGAAACGCAGTTACAAGAGCCATTGTTGAAATTTTCGAAGAAATTCGCATTACTAATGATTTTTTAGAAAGTTTGTTGTACCTGTCGCGGTGGTGGTGGCTCGGTTTCTGCCCACATTTTTTGCATTGCCTCCAAGGGATTTTCCACTGGCTGCGATGGGGTACTCGGTGCTACCTGAAAAAGAATTTTAGGCTAATCTCCAGCTGTTATAAGAGTCTTATCCTCACAGGTCGCTCTGCCGTAATGACTGAAGAAGTTTCTGACTGCTGATGTGACTTGCGTTCATCAGCATCAGATTCTCCAGATCTGCTTATCGAGGATCCATCGGTGCTGAAACTAGAAAGCTCTGTATGACTAGAATAGGATTTCTTATTTGCAGTTTAAGCGTTCTGTCTGAGAAATGACTTTTTTCTAAAAACACAAAAACATCCATAGATGCAAAAGTGTTAGAAACCAGAGTTAGCCTTTTTTGAACATTTCTTTTCGAATTCCATATACTTTTTTCTATAAAGGCATCAAATGCTTACTGTTCATGGTTCTGCTCCGTAGATGCTGACGCTTCACTGCTTCCTGAAGGGGAGAGCGAGGGAGGATCAACTTTTGGCAGCTCCAGGCTTGTGCTGGTTGACAATTTCAGGTTGGGCTCTGGTCTGAAGTATTCCGTTATTTCACCAATCCATTCTTCTATCAAACACAAGATTGAAGTACTTTGGCTCCTCTTTAGTCTCTTGCTTCGCCTCATCCTCCTCCGCTTTTTGTTCTAATTGGTTACCAAGCAGTTGGGCAAGGTTAAATGGTGCAGGAGCATCACCCGTAATCCCAGGATTGAAAAATGGGAACAGAGGCGAGAAAGGAGGGGCGAATGGTCTAAAAGAGAGATGTGATAATGTTTGTTTATGCAAATACAAGCATGCGCATACCGTCCTTGAGGGACCAGCTTGGGTGTCGAGGGCGAAGCAGGAGGCATATGCCT